GTATTTCCAACTTTTGAAGGAATCGCCATACTGCTTTCCACAATGGTTGTACCATTTTACAGTCCCACCAGCAGTGTATGAGAGTCCCAATCTCTCTACAACCTCGCCAGCATTTGTTATTTTCTGTCTTGTTGAAGTTTGATACTAGTGCTGGGAAAGTGGTAATTTTTAAGATTCCTTAAATTATTCTTTCAAAGTTTTCAGGTTGGCTAGCAGCAGTCACATGTGGAGAGCCAATCCCACTCTGCCACAGATGCTGTGACGAAGCAGCTGAGCAGGTTGAGGCAGCCTCGGGCTCTCCTTGGCTGGCCTGTCAGTGCCCATGAGATACTTGTTGAGAAATAGCCTACCACTGCTCTCCTCTCAAAGAACTGCATGATCCTTTATAAGGAATTACCCTTTGAAAATTACTGTTTTTCTTTTTTTTTACAAGGGTTTTTCCCCCACCAAGTGATGAACAAAGAAAAATAGTCACTTGGTTATCACATAACTTGAAGCCTCTAGGTGAGCATCTTGTCATACTTCTTGAGGTGAGAAAGTGAAGGCTAAAGTATTCTGATTCTCCTCAAGTGCCTGTCTACCATCCAGGACTCCTGAAACCCATGGCAGTGCTATTTCAACTGGGCAATACTCAGTGTTAGAGTATCCAGTAAAGAAAGTAAGCATGGGCTTGCTCGTGCTTACTTACTAATCTGTAGTGAACAATTTCACATTTTTCATGTAAACTGCTCACTACAGATAAGTAAAATAAACACAATTAAACCAGTGCTTACCCTGGGTGTCAGACAATTTGCCCAGGAAACACTAGTTTCTTTCCTCACAGCCAACTGAGAAAATTCCTTCCTTCTTTACACTGGTAAACAGAAGGGCCATGATGCCAGATTTGAGTGAACATTTGAATCATACACTTACAAAGAATGCACAGGCCTAAGGCAGGTCTGTAGTTTTTACTTTTCATCTGGTGATTCTGATGGGCAGGAAGAGATAGAAATGATTGTTCAATAGCTTTCATGGTCAGACATCCAGAGCATATTACAGGTTGTCATAATGCAAAAAAATTAAATTGCTAGGGGTCTGGTCTGATTTCTTCTTTTGGGATGTTTTATCTGCAATTAGCTAGATAGTATACACATTGAAAAAGTGAAGCACATTTAGAATGCTTACTAAATAATACACAAATTTAAGTACTACTTGAATACATCTATCAGTGAATGAATATACTGTATCAGAAATTTGAAATACTAAGAAATATGATTATAGAAAAATATTTAAAAAGAAGTTTCAAAGATAAATAAGAAATGATTGACTGATATGAGTTACAATTTAAAAGCAATAGTAAAGGTTATTAAGCAGTTTTTTTTTCACATTTGAATCAATTTGTTTAGACAACTGATGCTGTATGTTCATGGGGGAGGAACATACTTTAAGCTATATGGAATATTTTACCTGTGATAATAGGGTTCTCAGAGCAAGAAGGCGACCTTGACTTGCTGCTTCATGAAGTGGTGATCGATCTGCCCAGGAACCTATCAAGAAAGAAGAAAGAAAGAAAACAAAAATCTGTGAGCCAAAGTAAACCCTAATAGATACACTAATTCCTATACAATATAAATTATTTAGACTCTGCGTTCAACAAAGTGACCAAAATACTTGTAAGAATACTAGGAAATTTGATTCTTATCTGAAAAATCCAGCAACTAATGCCACTACACTGCCTTTGTTTTGCCTTTTAGATTATACAGAGTGATTTTACTGCAGGGAAAGTAATATTTTCCTCAGAGGCCTATCCTGAAATGACAATATCTGATTCATAGCAATAGGCAACAAAATGCTTAATGACGGGAACCACTACAAATGGTAAGAGTCATCTCCTGGCAGTTTGGGTTTGGAAGCAGTGCTATTTTCGATTATCTAGTTTTACTAAGGGAGCTCTGGTAGCATAGTGGCTAAGACACTTGCCTGCTAACCAGACGGCTGGCGGTTCAAACCCACCAGCCACTCCTTGGAAGGAAGGTTGGGCAATCCTACTTCCATAGTGATACTGCCTTGGAAACCCAAGGAGGGGTCACTATGAGTCGGGTTTGACTCGACGGCACATAACAACAACAACAATAGTTTTACTAATGCCAGAGAATAGTATGAACTATATTTATGTTAAAACTTATAAAGAATATCCCATAGAAATGTAAGCTCACTGATTTGAGTATGTGAAGACTCAGTTGAATAATTTTAAATTTATTCATTTATATCTAAGTATACAGAATGTGAGAAACTTCTCAGAGTCCTTCCAGCTCTCAAGAATTTTAATTAATATCTGCAGTCTATGCTCTTTACTCAAGACTATATCCAGTGCTTCAGTTAAATTCAAATACATTAAAGTTAATTTTTAAAATTTAGCTTTCCTATTGTTTTGAAAGTTCTAAAGTGAGTATGAAGAAAGTGGTTTGAGCCATTAGAGTTTACTTTCACACACTGAGATTGTGTCCTTATTACATGTTTATTCCACAGTCAGATAAATCAAAACTGAATAAGGCATGAACATCACACAAACAACCTTCGTTAACAGACTAAAAGGTATCCTGAATATACTGAGATTGCTATTTTTTCAAATGCATGAGATTAATAAGCCAATTTCTGTGAGAGAGTTCAGTCCTTTGGTCATGATGTATTTTCTCATTCAAAAAATACTGAGATTACAGCTATTATCAGCTGAAGGTCTTCAAACTTATTCAAAAGAAGGCCCTCATTTGAAATACTTAGAAAACAAAAAGCATGTGTGTGTGTGTGTGTGGGGGGGACTACTGATCAAAGTACCTAGTGATATTGACAACCTTTGTAGTAACAGTAGCAGTTTTGGGATTGAGCAAAACTAATTTCTTTAGTGGTAATCTGACATACCTAAATAAAAACAGGGAACACTAAAGAAAAACCAACGGAGAACACTTTCTCAGCCCTTACCATATGTCAGGCCCTATCCTAAACACTCGATATATGTTTACTTATTTTAATTCTCATATTGATCCTTTAAGGAAGGTACTTTTATTATCCCTATTTTCCAGGTGAGAAACTGAGGCACAGAGAAAGAAATTAAGTAACTTGTCCAAATGCACACAGATAGAAAGGTGTAGACATGTGATTCAGACTCCTCTCCTAGCCCAAATCAATACTTTAAACTTTGTGTAATTCTGCTGCTCAACGTGCACGCACGCATGCACGCACGCACACGCATACATACACACACAGTATTAACTGGTGATACAATAAATTTCCATGGAACTCTTTTGTTGCTGTCATTTATTTCATTGCTCTATTGGTTCTTCTGATATTCCTCTAAAAAGAAGCCCTATAAAGAGCTCTGGGTGGAGCAAGTGGTTAAGTGTTGACTTCTAGTGGAAACGTGGCTGGTTGGAATCTGCCAGTGCCTTGGAAGCCAGGCATGGCGATTTGCTTCTGAAAGTGTATAGCCCTGAGAACCTTATGGAGCACAATTCTACTCTGATACACATGGGGTCACCATAAGTCTTAAGTGACACAATGGCAACTGACAACAACAACAGCCTAAAAAACAGTTTATTTTATTTTATACTTGGCAAAATAGCAGGCAGTTACTGCGGCAAGATACAATTCAGTATACAGCAACAATACAGGAAAATTTTGACCTGTATAGAAATGTAAGTAAATGACTCAAATTAGAGAACCCAAAGCTACAGATTATTCCAAATTCTGGTGAAAAGTATAGATAATATAAACCAAAAATCCAAACTTACTGCCAGCGAGTCAATTCTGACTCATAGCGACCCCCACTGGTTTTCTAAGGAAGTAAATCTTTACGGAAGTAGATTGCCCAGTCTTCCTTCCATAGCATGGCTGGTAGGTTTGAACTGCCAACCTTCTGGATAGCAGTCAAATACCTTAGGCACCACACTATCTGAGCTCCTTATAGTTAATATAGTGATATAAAAGTGAAAATAACTTTCTAACATTTTGGTTCTATTTCTTAGATTCATAGAACTCAACTGCATGCACGCTTCTTATTAATTTGCTCTTACAAATTTAAAATATGTTGTTGTTGTTCGGTGCCATCAAATTGTGTCCGACTCATAGCGACCCTATGCACAGCAGAATGAAACACCTTCTGGTCTTGTGCCAGCTCCATGATCCTTGCTATACTTGAGCCCATCGTCGCAGCCACTGTGTCAATCCATCTTGTTGAGGGCCTTCCCCTCTTTTGTCGACCCTCCACCTTACCAAGCATGACATCCTTCTCCAGGGCATGGTCCCTTCTGATAACATGACCAAAGTAGGTGAGATGAATTCTGGCCATTCTCACTTCCAAGGAGCATTCCTGCTGTACTTCCTCCAGGACAGATCTATTAGTTCTTTTAGCAGTCCACAGAGGAGCTCTGGTAGCATAGTGCCTAAGGCACTTGACTGTTAACCAGAAGGCTGGTGGTTCAAACCACCAGCCACTCCTCGGAAGGAAGGTTGGGCAATCTACCTCCATAGTGATACTGCCTTGGAAACCCAAGGAGGGGTCGCTATGAGTTGGGTCCAAATCGATGGCACATAACAGCAACAGCAACACAGGTACTTTCAGAATTCCCATTCTTCTCAATGTCATCCACAATTTGTTATGATCTATACAATCAACTGCTTTTGCATAGTAATAAAACACAATCTTTCTGGTATTCTTTGTTTTGAGCCAGGATCCATCTGACAGCAGCTATGATATCCCTTGTTCCACGTCCCCTTCTGAATCCAGCTTGCACCTCTGTAAGTTCTCTGTCAATATACTGCTGCAACCATTTTTTAATTATCTTCAGTGAGATCTTCTTGCATGTGACATTAATGATATTGTTCGATAATTTCCACATTCTATGGGATCACCTTTCTTTGGAATGGGTACAAATATGGTTCTCTTCCAGTCAGTTGGCCAGGTAGCTGTCTTCCATATTTCTTGGCACAACTGAATGAGTGCCTCCAGTGGGGCATCTGTTTGTTCCTCAATGGGTATTCCATCAATTCCTGGAGTCTTGTTCTTCGCCAATTCTTTCAGTGAAGCTTCAATGTGTTCCTTCAGCACCATTGGTTCTTGATCATATGGCACCTCCTGAAATGGATTAAGATCTACCAGGTCTTTTTGGTACAGTGACTCTGTATATTCCTTCCATCTTCTTTTGATGTTTACTGCATCATTCAATATTTTGCCCATAGAATCTTTCAATATTGCAACTTGAGGCTTCAATTTTTTCCTGAGTTCTTTCAGTTTGAGAAATGCTGAGAGTGTTGTTCCCTTTTGGTTTTCTAACTCCAAGTCTTTGCATATTTCATTATAGTAAATGGCTCTGTCTCCTCGAGCTGCTCTTTGAAATCTTTTGTTCAGTTCTTTAATCTTGTCATTTCTTCCATTTGCTTTAGCTACTCTCCGGTCAAGGGCAACTTTCAGAGTCTCTTCTGTCATCTGTTTTGGTCTTATCTTTTCAGTGACCTCTTGCTTTCTTCATGGATGATGTTCTTGATGTCATCCCATAATTCTTCTAGTTTTCAGTCACTGGTGTTCAATGCATCAAATCTATTCTTTAGATGGTCTCTAAATTCAGGAGGGATATATTCAAGATCATATTTTGGATCTAGTGGACTTGTTTTAACTGTCTTTAACTTCAAGTTGAACTTGCACATGAGCAGTTGATGGTCTGTTCCACAATGAGCTCCTGGCCTGCTTTTCGCTGAAGATACTGAGCTTTTCCATCACCTCTTGCTACAGATGTAGTCAATCTGATTCCTGTGTATTCCATTTGGCAAAGTCCATGTGTACAGCTGCCATTTGTGTTGTTGAAAAAAAGGTATTTGCAATGAAAAGTTTTTGGTCTTGCAAAATTCTATCATGTGATTTCCAGCATCATTTCTATCATGAAGGCCAAATTTTCCAACTATCAGTGATTCTTCTTTGTTTCCAACTTTTGCATTCTGGTCACCAGTGATAATTAACACATCCTGATTGCATGTTCAGTCAACCTCAGACTGCAGAAGCTGACAAAAACCTTCAATATCCTCATCTTCGGCTTTGGTCATTTGCGCATAAATTTGAATAATAGTCATATTAACTGATCTTCCTTGTAGGTGTATGGATATTATCCTATCACTGACAGCATTGTACTTCAGGACAGATCTTGAATCCTCTTTTGTGATGATGAACGCTACACCATTCCTCTTCAAATTGTCATTCCCATCATAGTAGACCATATGGTGGTCTGATTCAAAATGGCCAAAACCAGTCCATTTCAGCTCACTAATGCCGAGGATATCAATCTTTATGCACTCCATTTCATTGTTGACAACTTCTAATTTTCCTAGATTCATGCTTTGTACATTCCATGTTCTGATTATTAATGGATATTTGCAGCTGTTTCTCCTCAATTTGAGTTGTTCCTTGTCAGTAAATGGAGCTCTCGAAAGCTTTACCTTATCTATATCATTAAGGCTGGTTCTACTTTGATGCACTCCCTTCTTGATTTTAAATGCAGCT